AAAAAAATGTCGTTGAAGAAAAAAAAAAGCGGGGGGGCCCAAAGTTGTTGAGCAAAAAAAAAAAGTGCAGCAGCACTGGCCAGGGGAGATCAGGAAGAGGAACGGGCCAGCGGGAAGCAGAGCTGAGGGAAGGTGCAGGGGGGCTGGGAAGGGAAGTGAGGGAGAACTGGCCTGGAAGCAGAGGGGAGTGAGCAAATTGGCCAGCAGGGAGCAGGACTGACCTGGGCACTTGCTGCCTGTCCCGTGCAGGCTCCCAGCTACATAGGAGCAAGGAGGAGGCTCGCCCTCCTCCTCACACTCAACCGACTGAGTGCTCCTGGCGGAAATTGTGGCCCTGCCTCCCAGCTGGGACTCCCAGCCGCTCCCCCCGCCCATGCCAGGCTTCCGTCTGGTGTGCAGCTGGAAAAATCATAAAATACCAGACATTGCGCAAATACCAGACTGTCCGGTACGATACTGGACACCTGGCAGCCCTACCTGTCACCCCCTCACCGACGCCCCTTCCCAGAGCTTGTCACCCCCTTACTGACACCCCCCAGAGCTTGTCAACCCACACTGACACCCCCAGAGCCTGTCACCCCCACACTGACACCCCTTCCAGTGCTTCCCCAGAGCTCCTGTCACTCCCTCACAGAGCGCCTGTCAGATAGGTCCTGTGAAGCAGAGTTAGAATGAAGCAGGATAGAATGCACTGCCCTATGATAGTGAATGCCACAATTACATAATCCTTTATCTTCCCATAATCCCGTTCCTCATTGATTTCACACTTTCTTTGGGGAAAAGTACACACTGTGCCTTTCTGCCCATCACAACATTCAGGGGGATTGCTGGAGGAGGGACTGAAGAACAGAACAGTTCGAGTGGAGGCTTTGGAGCTGGAGAAACTCCTGACACCTCGTCCCAGAGATCATTCCATCTAGAGACAGAGTCAGGAGAAGTAGAACAAGCTCCAGGCCCTTGGCAACAATCTACTTAGACAATCATGTATCCAGCTTCTGCAGGAGATGGTTCATGGCTCTTGCTTCTTCTATGCCCTGACACAAAAGTGGGGGCCAAAAAGCATATCACTGGTCTCCTGGCAACGAACCCATCTGACAGATCCAGTGGAGATGGAAAAGTGCCAGGCCTCTTCTATGTTTGCCTTTTCTCACTCAATCGAAATGATACTGACATCTATGGTGTCCCAGGGGACAAACTCTTATAGTCAGTGTAGGTGGCCAGGACCAATTAGAGCAACCTTTCACTCTGGCCTTTCATCTGATGCTCATCAGCCAATTTACAGGCATCAATGAGCTGATTATGGAATTTTACCAGGTATTCTGGGCCATCCTTGGCTCAAACCTCAACACCTAGGGCAAGTTGTTGGGGATCTCAGTGCTCACCCTATTGGGCAGATAGACTTTGCTGCCTAACAAGGGGGACTTCCCATGACTTCAGGAATTGGTGCTGAGTTTTGCTCCTCAGTGTGGACTACAGAGTTGGCACAAAAAGCCATTTCACTGCCACAGGTGTCTGCTGGTAGGTATGATTCTCTCCATCCAGACCATCTTCAGCAAGCTCTATCTGGTTCAAGACCTTTTCCATCTTGTATGTGGCAGACACTGAGGCTTGCCAAGCCATCCATTCATCAAGCTCCTCTGTTTTGGTTAACTTAGTCAAGAGCTCGAAAAAACTCCATTTTGAAAAAAAGTGGCAGCCATGTTTATGCTAATGAAGCACAGGATATTTAAATCCCTTCTTCATTAGCAATTTCAACATGCCTAATCTACATCTCTCTGTCAACAGAGAGGTGTAGTCTAGACACAGCCCCAGAGAGGCTGATTTTCCCAAGGACTTTGTTCAATAAAAGTGGATCGATGTCCATTGCCTTATCAAGGGTCCTTCTCAGGCATCTGGAATACAGATTTACATCTGTTCAAACAGCAAAATCCAAGTACTAAATTACAATTTGACAAAAAAAAACCCACAGAACTTAAACCCATTCACACATCTCCACGCAGCTTTATATTAGTCCACTAGGCTTTTATTCCAACTTCATTTCTATTTCCCCATTCGCTCAACTTCTTATTTTCTCATAGCCATAAGTTAATTTCTTCTCAGATTTCCTTCTCTATAGCTTCATCCTTATTTTCTTGCCACCTTTCTGTGCCTTAATTATTCATCTACTGTTCTCCTCAACCGCATACACAACTACTTACACGCATTCACAATAGCCATGATAGCTCCCTTTTACCAAACCCATTCTTTCCACACACTTCTAAAATGTAGGGGGTCACTTTCCATGACAGCAACCACAGCTTTAGGAAAATGTGTCATTTCCCACTCTTCTCTTCCTTCATTTAACTTTTCCCCAATCAAAGCACCAACACTTTTCACATACAATCTGCAGAAGGTCTTCCTTAACTCTGAATTTCCTTGCCATGTGGGAATCAGTGAGAAAGCCTGCTACAGTACAGCTCTTTTTATGATTTCAAATCAAATTACCTGCAGACCAGCTGAGGCAAATTCTGCCCCCCAGTTACACCTGTGTAATCCTTCTCAGTTCAATGGAGTTTCATGGATGAAGCTGAGGGCAGAAGTTAGTTCTTAGGCTATGTCTAGACTGCAGGCTACTTTCAGAAGAAGCTTTTCCGGAAGAGATCTTCCAAAAAAACGTCTTCCAAAAGAGCCCGTCCACACTGCCAAAGTGCATTGAAAAGTCGATCTGCTTTTTCAAAAGATAGCATCCACGCTGAATGGATGCTATCTCATTTAAACTGTGATTATTATGGACGGAGTGGCCACCAGGACACCTATGCTTTTTCCTCTTTCCATTTCTTCCAAAAGAACGCCCTCTTCCCTGTCCACACATGCCTAAAGAGCACTTTTGGGGAAAGGCTTCTTCCTTGTAGAAAGAGGATTACCAATGCCGGAAAAAGCCCTCCATTCTTTCGATTTTATTTTGAAAGAATGCAATTGCAGTGTGGATGTAACTCAAGTTTTTTTCAGAAAAACAATTGTTTTTCTGAAAAATCTCTGTAGTATAGACATACCTGTAGTGTTGACCAAGTTTCAGACTGTGAATGGAAAACAGGCTGCATGATCCAGTGATTAGAACACAGTTCTGGGAGTCATAGAATAATAGGACTGGAAGGGCCCTCAAGAGGTCATCGAGTCCAGCCCCCCGCCCTCAAGGCAGGACCAAGCTCCGTCTACACCATCCATGACAGATGTCTATCCAATCTGTTCTTAAATATCTCCAGAGAGGGAGATTCCACCACCTCCCTTGGCAATTTATTCCAATATTTGACCACCCTGACAGTTAGGAATTTTTTCCTAATGTCCAATCTAAACCTCCCCTGCTGCACTTTAAGCCCATTACTCCTTGTCCTGTCCTCAGAAACCAAGAGGAACAAATTTTCTCCTTCCTCCTTGTGACACCCTTTTAGATATTTGAAAACCGCTATCATGTACCCCCTTAATCTTCTTTTTTACAAACTAAACAAGCCCAGTTCATGAAGCCTGGCTTCATAGGTCATGTTCTCTAAACCTTTAATCATTCTTGTCGCTCTTCTCTGTACCCTTTCCAATTTCTCCACATCTTTCTTGAAATGTGGCACCCAGAACTGGACACAGTAC